GCAGTATGTTTTGATTTCATTTTGCTATTTTGATTCATGTTCATCGATTTTTCAACGAAATCATTCTATTCAGTTTTGCAAAACATAAATTTCACTTTGTTTAAGGATGAAAAGACTTTAATTTGCCACTTAATTTCCTCATTAGACGTCGATATTACCATCATTTGATCATAAAGATCAAGAGAAATGACATAAATATGAAATGCTTGCAATTATAAAAACATCCCTTACCGATTGTTCTTTCCTAAATTAGCGTGTTTCAAAAACTCTACCAAAAAACAGAAAATTTTCCAAATACAACTCCACCTGTTACATTATGTTGCTATTCTTTATTATCATTCTCACCCTACCATGCTTTCATCATCTTGTAAACTGCCATTTCTATTTTTATATCAATTAACTAATTTTTTTCACTAAAAACTCAGTGCAAGAAAAATTAAATTTAAACTTGCATATCTTTTTTAAAATAATTGCTGCTTTATTGAAATAAAGATTGTACGAATTTATGCTATAACAGTCGCATGGTGAAAATAAAAATAATAGCGATGTGGCTTTTTTTTTCAAGTCACATTTAATGCTAGTGTCCATAATATTTCATCAGTCAACATGCGAAATTTTTTTATGACCTATTTGAATCTTGCAATTCGATGATCTATTTCGATCAAACTTAATTACTTTCCAAATCAGTGCCACAATATGTAGAGCATAAAATTCTGGAAGCCAGAGTAGTACAACTGAAATGAATGAAAAAATCTTTATTTGATAGCTCTAAATGACATTGGAAATGAAGAGAGCTAATGGATTTAAAATCACACTCGCCAATACGGACAAAATATTCTTAGCCATCAGCATGAAAAAAAATGCACAGGACTTGATTATTTGAAGAAAAAATATGATCTTTAGTAGATGTTAAATGTAACATTTTAAGAAATTTGAAAAACAAATCTCCCTCTTTAGTCTCTTTTTTTATTTAAATGTTCAGAAACCTCTATGTTTTCGACAGTCGTTTAAATTTTTGAAAATCCGCTTTTATAAATGAAAAAAAAACTACCTATTCATAAAAACGTTACTTGCACCGAAATTATTTTAATTATTTGTAGACTTGAAAAAAATATATCATGAATCTGATTTAAACTTCTCAAAAACAATAAATTGCAAAAGCGAATAAGAAAAATAACTGTAAGAAAGCTTTAAAGTTATAGTAGAGGATCATTTTCGGATGTCTATTACAGCACGAATATTAATGAAGAGTTATTAAGATAAGTTTTTGAAAAATTGAAATTAATCCCAAGTAGATTTATTCAATCGCTGCTTCGTACGTATGCCATCATTCTTTTGATGTCGAAAATCACTGCGTGTTGAGTCTGAGAAAAAAATGTTAAAATGACTGCAATCGAATATCTCAACATCTTGGTAAGACTTTTTAAAAATAAATTAGTATCAAAAATAAAATTTTGTATATGAAATGAAATCCGGTTCAGCATTTCAATTATTACTTTCACAAATTGTAGTTAACATTATCAAAGAATGCCAGGTATGAAAAAGCGAAAGTTTCAAAATTACAAAATTCGGAAAATTTCCCAGATTTTATTTTCATTACAGTTAAAGATTATTTGTGAAATATACTTCTCCAGTGTCTCTTATCGCAAGGTGAACGCATCTTTCCACAAGGTTCATAGTGATCTTCAATTTCCGACCCATCACTTATTTCAATGATATTATTTACATTCTCGTCATCATCAGTGTCAAATTGATCGATCTAAGAGGTAAATTTTAAATAAAAAATGTGTATGTGAAAACAAAGGAGAAGGAAATTGAAATTTGAAGTAATACTCTCTTGAACATTTGAAAATTGATTTTTTTTCCCGAACTTTATAATTAAATAAAACAAAAATATTATATTCAAGAATAAAAATTACCAAAACTAGATCATTCAACACACTACGTCTCCTAAATGTGAGACAACAAACAAATCGATTAATCGTCACATTTTTCTATGCAAATATAAACATAAATAGTTTGAGAAAAAACATCAAACTGATATGATTATAAATTAGATTTAAGTAGAAAAACAAATAAAAATAAAGGACCTGATAATTTGCGTCATCAAAGACTCGTGGTGCTCCTTTTTCCTTACGATAATATCTCTCCTCTCGATAATCGTTGTGAGAGTTGTCTTTTAAAGGCCGATTGTTGTACTTCACATTTTTTGAATAGTAAGTCACCGAATTTCCTGGATAATAATAGGACTGCATGGATGGGTCCAATCCTTTGCCGTACGTCATATTATGTTCCACCTCATCATCGTCGCTAAGCGCTGGAAAGTTTAATCCTGATAAAAAACATCGAGATTACCTGCTCCTTCAAAAAGTATCCATAGAAGTGGTTCTGATTCAGTGAAATAGAAGAAGCATAAACATCGAAGAATACATATCAATTCTGGAATTGGTAAATGCCCTTATTAATTTTATTTTGTTATTACTGAGCTGAAACAGTTAATTATAGCAGCAATTGCAAGATATATAAAACTTCTTGGAGAAAAAAATATTGAGTACATTTACCAGGAATGATGCCATGTCTTGCCAGGTATTTCTTGGAATCGTAAGAAAAGGCACATGAAGCAGGTGAATTCTCACAATGCTGAATTTGTTCAACGGTCATCTGCTTCGTCACTCGCGTGGTACTTCGAATTACAGGTGAAATAGGCTGAGTCTTTTTTTCATGCCGCCGTGATGGAACTCTCAAATATTGGGGTGAAAAATTTTAAAAATTGATTGCAATTGTAATGATCATAATTTCCTTTACGACTGGCGAGATCCTAGGCATTATGTGATTCTATCAAGTAATTCCAAATAATCTGTCCAATATATGTATGCATTCAAAAAGTATTTGTTATAAAATTTAAATCCTGAGTATAACTGGCAGAACCTGCCAGTATCTCCTTTGTTTTGGTGAGAGGCGAAAATGTCAAGACTCTCATCTCCTCCGCATTTCATGATAGCTTCATCAACGAGACGTTTAAATTCTTCGTTTTCAGCATATTTTCGTTTCATTATTTTCCATTTAAGATCTTCTTTGGATGAGCTGTCAATAGCTTTCTTCCTCTGCAGTAACACATTACGCTTTGAGACTTAACCGTTCAAGCAAAGAATATAGAGAAAAGCTTTTAAAAATCACGATTTTCTGGTTATTCTGATAAATGCTGTGTTCCACCAAACTACTAAAAATGATAATACAATGTAATAAGATGGAACGCAATTAATACCATCAAAAAAAGTAGTTAAATCGACTTGAAAATAAATGCTAGATTCTTGATTAAAAATGAAAGTGATATTTATTTTAAAAAAAAAAAGTGGACCCTACCGATCCCGCAAAAAGTTCTCTATGTGCTACGAGATTTCCTTCATCGTTTTCAGTCACGTACCCTGCTTCACATATATTCTAAAATATCTTCTAAATAGTGAGAACTTACATGTATTCAATAAAAAATTTCAGTTTTCACTATACAAAATTATTTGTTGAAAATTTAAGCTATTTCAATCTTATTATCAATATTATGACAAAAACACTTGCCGATGAAATCAAAATTACTACCTTTGAAAAAAAAAACCGAAGTAAAAAAAAAACAAACATTAGGAGGTATATTCTCTTTCCCACGATAACGCATTTCTGTTTCAACTCTCTTTTCACATTTTTTGGGATCCTCGTTACTGGTATCGGACAAAATGTTAAATTGTGCCAAATTTCCTAGCATTTTCTATAAAATAAATTTTGACCAATGAATGGGAGTGATATAAATAAAAAAGATATAACAACAAAACAAATGATAACGGAACTGTCTTGAATTGTTGAATATAACAACAAAATAAATGATAACGGAATTGTCTTGAATTGTTGAACATGAAAAATGCTCTTAGAATCGATAAAAAAGCAAATCGTATCAATCGACTGCAACAAATAAAGAGTGTAACGATTTAAAAACCACCTTCATCGCTTCTGTTAATTTCAAGAATTGATCATTTCTTTCTGAATCTTTCATTGTCAATTCATCGATTTTTAGTTGCATTTCATGCACTTTTTCTTTTAACTTTTCAAACTACAAAATATATTGTGTTCAAAGTTCCCTGAATAAAAAAGCATCAAACCTGAATTAATCAAATCTGAATTTTTTTTATCTCATGATTTCTGTGGCACCAATATTCTATGCTCCTATGAATTCACATTCGATGCTTATGCAATATTTAATTTATGCCTCTATGGTCATCTTACCTCATTTCAGCTATTATATTGCAATAAACTTATGTTAATGTTAAAAATTCTTAGGTCACATTGAGGATTTATGGATCATTATTTTTACAAATATATTCATATACCCAAAAGCAATAACGAAAGTAATACCAAATCAAATCCTTTCCTCCCTCCTCCCCTTCCCGTTCCGAGTATTAATAAATTGAAAAGCTATAAGCACACTACCTCATCCGAAAATCGCTCACTTTGAACGTCTGTAACCATTTTAGGTAAGTTCTTCTGAGAGTTTGAATGAACCAAAACCTTTCGATGTGCTTTTGATGTATCCTCAAATTAGAGATGTTTCTGATACTATATGCGGCAGTATGGATTTCCGTAACTATACTCAAAAGATACTCACATGTTGTCACAAAAAATAAAACTGAAAATAATATCCCCATTGCTCATAATTTCGTTCGCTAGCCATTCTAAAATCATTAAGAAACAAAATTTAGAATATCTCAAGGAAATGGAAGACTTGAACTTTAAAAGACCTCAATTGTTTGCGACACGTTAACAGTTCTTCCAAATGCTACTGTCTTCTTTTTTTGTAATAATCGTGCTGGAAGCGGTTGAGATTTCTCAGTTTTTGCTTTTGTCTCAACAGACCGTTTTGGAACCGAAATTCGGTTTTCTTCGTAACCTCTCTGAGTATTTTTAAAACTTCCTTGAACTTTATTGCACGATTTAGTAAGCGATGTTTTCTTCAAGACAGGACGCAGAGGTTGTGGAGAAGTTTGCGTTTGAGGGATGCACCTGAATAAAACAGTTACAGAATTCTAGAAGCAAAAAAAATTGCGTCTAAAGGCTATTGCACAAGTTGAAAATGAAATTTCTTACATGGATTTTCTCTTTTTGTTTTATTAGTATTACTTCCTGTCAAAGAACTGTACTAAGCAAGAAACAGTTCTATAAGAAAAAGAAATTAAGAAGCGGAGACTTGTCGTTTTACTAATAAGTATCATGATTATAACGGATACAAATAGGCAAACGGATATTATCAAATCTGGCACAAAACGAAGGAAGAAGCGCTTGTATTAACAGGAACCAGTAGAGTAGTTAGTTCATAATGAAGCCAATAATAAGAGGCAAGTAGAAATTATAAAATTCAAGAAAATTGAATATACAAACATAAAAACACTCACTTGCAGTTACAATTAACTCGCGCACTAACAATTTCCAAAGATGTTAATGGTTCGGGAGAGAGCGGAATTGTTTGCTGTTTCTGCAAGTAAAACTTTATCTTGAAAATTTTGGTAACAAATCAAAACATAAATTAGTAGTGAAAAAAAACTGAATAAAAGCACCTAATTTGTAGCAGAAATCCTGACCTGATTTAGAGCTGTTGTCGAGGGTAAACTGAAGCCAAAATTTAGCTCAGGAACATAGGACACCAGTGAGGTAAGACAATCTGGTTGATTGGATGACATCACCCAAACAACATTTGTAACGCCAAAATGGAAGGTAAAGTTATCAGGATGAAGTGAGATAATTCGAAAAGAGTACGTCTCGACATATTCATTTATCATCATCCATTATTAAGCAAAGTTCTTGTTTGCTTTATTTTTAACGAGAAATGATAAAATAAATCAAATTCCAACACCTATCCATACGAATTAATTTGTAAAAGACTGACTAAGCAGAGTAGAAAATTTTGAGTTTAATTTTGCAAAGGATCATCTGGGCATTTTATTCTACATAACAAAAATCACTGCAACAGTAAGCTATGCAAATCGATTGCAAAAAAATTATGACTATGAAATGATGAAAGGATTTTTTCACCGTTAAAACAACGGATATCCTAAAATGAGCTGAGTGGAACTTTCAAAACGATTTATAGCATGTGATAAAAGTAATAGAATATTCTTTCACATTTGTGATAATTAAAGAGCATTTTAGAATAGCAATTTCATTCATCAATAAACAGGACTTTTTAAATAGCAAAAGGAAGAAATCTAACAAAATCTAATAAGCCTCAAATATAGATAGCTATCAATAAACCTAAAATTCTAAAATCCATATCCACAAAAATATGACATAAAAAGTAGATAAAATGCTAATAAATGATACATGGAATCCTGACGTTAGTAGAAACAAAAGCTAATAGGTGAGACGAGTGCTCAAACTAATAAATTTATCAAAATATTTTCATTCAGTATGAAATTAAAACAGCAAAACGCTGCACCACTCCTCGAACTTAACATTATTCAAGTGGACAAAATAAGTGACAATAGAACATCACTGCAAATATCAATACGAGATCAGTCTGTTTGAGTAATATGAAAATCTAATACAGTGATTAATAAGATCTCAATAGAAATGGAATGTTGACCATCTCAATAAAAAATAAAGTAAATGGAGATCGAATATAAAACTGAAAGTATACGGCGGTAATGCTGATAAAAGTATGAATAGATATGGATATAATAATAGTAAGAATAATAAGAATAACGAAAGAATAAACTTGAAAGGATAAATAGGAGGAATTTGAAACTGCGAAAAGATTAATAAAATGCAACATAAAAATTTGTATGAAATAATTTTTATATGAAACTGATTAGAATTCAAAAAAAAAAGCCTTAATATTTGATAAAAAATTCAGTATGAAAAACAACAAAAATTACAATGCACACACACACACTATTAAAACGGTATATGGTACCATACAGAATCGATCGAAAAAGAAAAACAAGCAAATAACGTCTATCGTTCCTTTTAAAGAATACTGATGATATTAGGATCAGAAGCCGGATAATTTCATTTAAAATCATCAAATAATCGTCGACAAACACTTCTCCTTGGTGCGTCTCCTGCTCTGTCTCTCATAGGACGGCTCTTAGGAGTGCTTGCATCTGGAAATTGTGACGGAGACTCGGGTGAATTAACAAATAAACGCTGCAAAAAATTACATCATTTGATATTAATCTTGTCAATTCCATATTATATACCACAATCATCAAAGAAACAAATTGAAGCACACTGAAATGACTAACCCTCGGTAGCATACGGCGAGGTGGTGTCTTCATGTTCACATCAATTTCCATAATAGGATTTAGCTCCTCCCTGTGTTGTCTGTTATAACGATCTCTTGCCAGTGTATGATAAGCCGAAGCAACTGAATTAATACGATGGTATTTGTAATTCTTTAGTTCTTCTGCGTGTGCTTCATCATTCATTTCCACATACCCATTCGGTTCAAGAAGATCCTAAACATGTTTAGAGAATAATTTTATAAAATCTATTTAACAGTGCTTGACGAATTTATTTTTTTATTCCCATTCTTTAAGTATATTTCTAGAGTAATAGATAAGGTTTATATTATAATGATTAAAATTCTTCTATATCTCAAAGACTTTTACAAAATCCTTACTGGCGCGCCATTAAAACGTAAGTAGAAATCGCGATAACCGTACTGCAGCAAATATATTTCTGGATAATCTACTATTGGATATCTTCCAACATTAACTTTACGATCAAGTGCACGAAGTTCATATGCTCTATATATTAAAAAAAGCAATATTATATGTCTTTATATTATATGTTAGTCTTTAATCATGATAGAATTTCACTACATTTTTCTTGCACATAACATTATAGCATTTAAAGTGTAGAGCAGATAGTGATGCATGTAGCATAAATAACGCATAAGCTACATCTTTTCGTTACACCTTTACACTGGATATTGCATTTGAAAACAACATACATTGAAGGTCCTCGTTTTTGCGAGAATTCACAATAGAAAATCGGTTTTTTCTTCATTATTTGTGCTCGTAATTCAACATCATTAGGATAAAAGACATTTTCCACTTCAGCTGGATCGAATAAGTTATAAGCATCCTGCGAGGTAAGCATAAATTTTGATGAAGTGAAAGACTGCACATTACACGATTTAAAACTTTACAAATGCTTAAATCTGTATTTATATGTGTGTATTACTGCACGTCCTGATACAACTCTTAGGTCAAGCAAAACAAAAACAAAAATGGGAATCTCAATTGTTTTAGCCCTGTTCTTCGTATGATAATCAACAGCGTTAGTCAACAGTCCGACAACTATCAGGCCAAGCAAAACAAAAAAAAAAATGGAAATCTCAATTGTTCTATCCCTTAATTTAAAGTTAAGAGCCGAATTAAAATTAAGATTTAAGTACTAATCTACGGGTGAAATATAAAACTATTACGAAAAATGAAAGAATCACTCGAATATGTCCACCATTAAATTCGAACGGATAACGGCAGTCGATAAGTATAAATCGTTTCGAAAATTGTTCCCTTGTCATTGAATTAAGCAGATCGGCCAATGTTCTTGCAGTAATACATGCAAAGGCAGTTGAAGGAACAACTGGATTTTTAACTGTATCCAACTCATAATTCTAAAAAATATCATACATTTAAAAATGCCATACATTTAAAAATGCGTCACAGCATGAAATTTGGTTAATACCTTTTACAGTGATTTTCAAATGATAGCAAACTACTTGTTGAATAATTACGTTTCTAAGAGTAACATACAACTTCAAGGAGAGGGGGTGGCTCAGGTTCTTTGTTAGCGCCGATTTCTAGGTAACTTGCTGAATGAGATCGATTGAGCATAGTTGGAGAAAATGAAACATCCCTTTCGTCAGGTTCATTACCCAAATTATATCCCTTAAAATTATCTGGTGAAAGATGCAAAATAGATGTAGCTTATCATTTCAAAATCTAAATAAGCTCTCTCATATAAAGCTAGGAGAAACTGCAGCGTTACTGCATGAATTAGTAATTTAATAATCATATCAAAGTACTTCACTAGCTGAAATCCTCTAAAAACCTCGACAGATCATGCCGTACTTTGATGTTATTAAGCAGCTGTTATCCGAACATGGATGCGCTACTGATGCAAGATTTTAATAAAAATTTGCACTTGTTCAGACAGATACTGTATACTAAAAAACATAAGTTTCCATAACTCTTATGAATATAAAAGAAATTACTTCAATTGCACTGTCCTGTTTTCCTAGAGACAGTTCAGCCATGTCAATATCCATTCTCTCTTCAAAACTTTCATCGATCCTACCGTTATCGCCTTCTTCCATTGACTCATCTCTCACTTTTTTCGCACTTCCGGTAACACTCGTCTCATCCGGTATATGACGTTTTTTATAGCGAGATTCCAACTTATTTGGAGTTGATGTTGACGGTAATGAAGGGGAAATCAAAGTATTGCGACTCGTACCTTGCAGATGTGCCCGGAAGCTGAATTCATTTTCCAAATTTTCAATATCATCCTCATCATCGCCGCGACATTTTTCAATAACGCTATGTTCACTAACTGTCCTGCTACGTCTAAAGTTTATTAAAACTAATAAAATTCTTATCATCAAGCATCTCATTCTACTTACTCAAGCTATCAACGTTGTGCATTCTTATTTACCGAGCAATTGGAAGTAGGTTGTAAAGTTTGCTAGAACTACTGCCGTTTGATATTCCCACTATATTCTTCAATCGATCAAGTTTTTTGAAAGCAGAACGTCGTTGAGTACGGTGCAATTGCAACTGCTTTGTCTTGATACAGTTACCAAAAGAATTTGTTCCATTTGAAACACTTAAGCACTTCTTATTTGATGTTGCATTCGTGATTTGTGAAGAACGACTTTTATCCAGACCTTGAAAAATAAATATAAATATAATCTAATACTTCACCAGAAATATCCATGAAGACATTAGCTAGAAGAAATAAAAAATGTACTTGCTAGACATAATGAGCCATTAAAATGCAAGCGTTTCAAATATTCTGAATCATTTTCCATTGAGAAACATTGGGACGGTAAAAAACGCAATGCTGAAGTAGGAGATCGCGTCATAGGTATCCTGAAAATAACATTACGTAATTACGGCACCAACTAAAATATATCAAAATTTCCAGAAAAAGAATAGTCATGAAAAATTATTCGTTTTTGTATTTTTGCTTTTACAAAATTTTTCCGATTGTAAAAATTTTCCCTGATCTCCATAAAAGAAGGAATAAAATTCATAATTTGAACTGATAAAAGATGACACGGTGTTATGAAATACTGAATACATTCTATTTTTCAAAATTCTGTAGTTTGTATTCTAAAATTTGGGAAGTCTTTTCTTTTACTGTCAGATGGATTCATTTACGCAAACGAATTATTATAATTATAAATTAAAGCTGATATATGCAATAAGTAATTAATTGAACTAAATTTGACGCTAGCTTAAAAATGAACTTTCAAACTGCTTAAATTGTTTGAATCAACTTACGAAACATTTGTAAGATCCCGAAATGAGTTACGAACAACGTGCTGGTTAGATATTTCAGAGGTCTGCACAGGAGATGACCTCCGCTGATAGTCAGTAGATCCAAATCCAAACTTCTGTAAAAGAATCCATTCACATTATTTAGTATACTGAATATTTTAATTCAATGATTGTTGCTTTAAAAAAGAAAATAGAAATACCGCAATAGATGATTCTGTCTCCATAAGCTTATGACTAATATTCAGTTCAGTAGCAGCAGCAGGATTTTTTGGCAGTATATCGGAAGCTATTACAAAATTTTGACTGCCATCGTTTTGCAATATATTTTCATTATTACAGGAACTTGGTGAGTTCTGAAAATCAGTATCAACGAAGAAAGAGATTCCCAAGCAATCTGAATAGCGCGTAAATGCTGCATTTATGCGCTCTTTGAACTTCTATTTGGACGACTGCAAATCATTGAATCCTTGAATCCAAATTTAATTCTAAAGATTCTAAAGATCTATTCTAAAAATCAATTTAAGTCTTCTAGAGATAATGTCAAATGCTGCGATAAATATGAAAGTTTTTGATAAAATATTTTGAATCGCATGTTCGAAGTCAAATTTTCAACCAAGCGAATGAAATTTTGAACTAAGATATGTAACAACTAACAGTATTCATTGTGTGCCTCCAATGTATAAAAGAAACGATAGATCAGTTATTGCATACATCCAAAACTGAAACAATCAAATCCAGTTAAAATAAAATGATACTGAAATTCTGCCATTCCTAGAATCTAATCGATACTAATTATTAACAATTAACAAGTAATCATAACAAGATAAAGAAAAAACAAAAAATAACTTCAATCATCTTCTAACACTGATTTAGGTTAAAAATTGACGGCAAGATGTACTAGCAATCTCCGCTAGCAAACATAAAAAGAATTCATTCACTATAAAGCATCATCAAACTTATCTCCACTGGAAAACTAAATCATATAATTAACAGATTAGGATGAGGATAAGATGATTTATATGACCTCTTTAGGCGATATTCTTCGATGATTCTTACACTTCCAACAAATTTGTACAACTAAATCATCCATACATAAATATCCTTTACAAATCTATGAATATGAAATCCCATACGTATTGTTTTCAATTCAATTCAGTAATTGATTTCATTATTCATTCATTCATTCAAAAGAATGAAAAATTTCCTTCAACTGATCAGTATTTCGTACATGCAAAAAATCAAACATCGACCATATAGCCCTAAAATTTTTTCAATTTGCCATCCACAAAAGAGCCAAAATGAGAGAAAGCATGCAAGCAGCAAACAGCATTCTGATCACAAATTACACCATTCCTAAATTGCTATCCATCATCATCATCATCATCATCCTTCGCGGGCTTCCTATCTGATCAAATTTTTGAACTTTTCATAATGCTCTTCGATGGTACACCCGTTGCAGCACAATATCATCCGCAAATGCTTCGATATAAAAATCAGACAGATCAAATGAAATGTTCTCCATTGATTAATATATTTTTTTAACAATTAGACAGATCTAAGTTGGATATCGCTAGATGAGGCAGCTCCGCTTAACATTTAAATGATCTGAATCTCATAAGAAAAATTAGCTAATAAATCATATCAAGTGAAATGTTCTCGACACTGATTCATATATATTCTTTTAACAATTCTCGTTAGCATATCTGTTCATTCGTTTTTTTTTTTTTTTTAAATCTCGTTTCATTTGTATCTTTGCAGATAAGATGTAACGCTTTAATTATTCAGGAAAAAGAAGGAATTTATATTTGCTTAGCAAATAAAGCCAAGCTACGAAATAAAGTACAAAGGTTAAAATTTGAGATACCAATTAAATACTCTACAGCACTTCAAAAAAAAAAAATGTATTCGTAATCGGAACTCGTAATGTGCCTTCTCCTGAAATAATACTTCGCGGGAGGAACGGTATACGATCAAAATTTCAATTCACCAGTGCAGATGTACATGAAGCATGTTGTTATTCCTTTTCTGGCAATTAAAATATACTCCTTGCATACAATATTTCCTTCACAGAATTGAATAGGTAAAAAGCAAAACATAAGTGAAAGATAAAACAAACAGAAAAATGAGAAAGAAAAATGAAAGACATTGTTGAAAGCAAATCTTAATGCTATAAAAGCTACGTTCCAGAAATGTTTAAATTAAACTGCTAGATTCATTAATTTTTCTAACCAATTTTTGCATTGGACAACTTTTGTCAGCAAAATTTGTTCATGGAAGCAATGAACAGAAATGAAAGCGTCAGAAGGAATGAAATTCATAAGGAAATAAATAAACGCACAAACCGAAACATAAAAAACGACAAGAAGCAAGGAAAAAAAATACATTTCATAAAATAAATGATTACAATCCTTTCCATATTAGTTGCAAAATAATATTCTACACAATAAATATTTACATATGCACTTGAAAAACAATCAAAAAGGATTTGAAAAAAAATGGGGTAGATCGAAAATTTATAGAAATACGAAAGACAATTCTACAATAATATTAAAACGCATTTCAAAAGCAGAGGAAAAAAGGAGTGTACAATCTATCGAAACTTTAAAAGTGTGCCTATAAAAACAAAGGACTTCACACTGCTTAGATTAATTTAGCAGTCTATTTACGGGTAATCAGCATCAAAATCAAGCAGTATAAGTTTTGTGTCTTCCGTACCATTACGTGAACCTACTGCACAGACTAGCATTGTTGGCGTCGATTTCAAACGCCAGATACAACCACCGGAACCACCAGAACGAAGCCTCACTAGATCACGTACGAACATCCCTAAACTTTCACTGTTAAACTGTTGGCTGCATTTTAATCAGGTCATACTTAAATAAAACATGGAAATAATAAATGATTTCATTAATAGAAAAAAATACATATTTTGCTTGATCAGTTGATATATAATATTGATTGATGGAGCGATATCTTTGTGTAATAATTGAATTGTAGTGGCCCTATATTCTGCTAATCAAAGAAGCTGACATACCCTGCTTGACATCCCACAGCTTAACCGAACCATCATCACTACTCGTTGCAACTAGACCATTTTCAAGAAATTGCAAACTAGTAACAGCGGAAGCATGTCGATTAGGGCCAGACAGTGTATACTTGCATTGTCCATCCATAATATCCCAAATCTTAATTTGTAAAAAAACTTTCTACAGTTTTAAAATTTTCTGATTTCAGCAACATATTGCAAAGCTTGTAAATAAAAGTTAATAAATAACAAACGTCCTAATAAAATAAAAATTAGCAAATTAATTAACGAAATGAATTATACAAATTAATAAATTAAATGATCATTTCAGGTAAATATTAAAATTCACAGGATAAAATTTTTTTTAAAAAAACATGAACCGCAACTGTTAAATTACCCTCCTTATAATTACATACTTGGAAAGCACAAACCTTAATCGTACTGTCGGCATTGCCAGAAACGAGAATATTGCCTCTTAACTGCATGCCCGATGTTAAAGACTGATGGCCAGTTAATGTCTGCGTACATACTCCATCACGAATATTCCATACTTTGATCGTAGTATCCAAACTACCGCTAACAACTATATCTCTTTCACTATCAAACTGCAAGAATATAAATTACTGATTTTTTCTAGTGATCACAAATAATAAATTTACATCACTTTCTACCTTTTTTTGTACAAACTTTGCAAAACATAGAATAAGAATAGTCACCATTTAGCAAAGTAGTTTGGAAATAGTATAAGAAACCAAATCTAATGTTATGCAAGTAAATAATTTATAATTATAAATGTTTTAGAAATCCCAGTTTCACTTACCAATAAGGAATAAACTCGATTACTATGGCCAGTTAGAGTGTGCAAGCATCTACCTGATTCTGCATCCCAAACCTAAAATATTATCTTTAAAATTTTTTGCAGTTAATCTTGCTTAGTTCCACAAGGCACTGACATTAATAGAAACATCTGACAAACTAGTAGTGAATTCGTATATTTTCAAATAAGCTATAAAATCGAATTTATTATTAAGAATAAAAACAATTGGAAATTTTAAAACAATAAGAAAAATTTAGAAAAACAAGATATTTAAGTATATAAGCATTAAAAATTAAAAGTCAATCTCCATACAAAATATTCAAGCCTAAACAGTGTGTATCATTTGAAGACGGCAGCAACAACTATTCTGCAAATAAAGAACTGAAAATAACAGAAAAATGTTTATTCAAAATTTGAAACTGTAAACCTTGACGGAGAAGTCATATGCTCCAGAAACAATACGCACGCCATCGAACTGAACACAACGTACAGCTGCTACATGACCTTGCAAAGTACGTATGCATGTGCCATCTTTGATATTCCATAAGCGTATTGAGGTGTCGCGAGATCCAGTTACAAGTCTTCAAAAAAATTAACATTCTTGATTTATATTTTTTAGAAATAATCTAAGAAAAATTAAATGAAATGATCCCAAAAACAAAATCTTAAAAAATTTATAGGGACATGTGATACAATGAAGATTTACCTATCCTCTCTAAGTGTCATACAGCGAACTGTACTTGTATGACCTTGCAAACAGTGTAAGCAGCGTCCCGTCTCTACGCACCATACGCGTACCGTTCTATCAGTAGAACCACTTGTCACAGTTTTACCATCTTCTGACATCTGAGATGACCAAACACCACCAGTATGACCCGTTAATGTTTGCAAACACTATAATCATTTCAGTTAGATAAAAAAAAAATTTGAGTATACTCATACCTAATCTGAGTATTTGTAATATAAACTATTTTCGCTTTGGCATGGTCAATCTTCCAGCTGTGCAGCACTCCATAAATTGCACTCCCAAACCAAACATTCAGAAATAATAAAAATGACTTCAAAAACTTTGATCTAGCAAGTAAAATATTTTTTCTGGTGGTTTTACAAGACTTTCTAGTAGACAAATAACTTACTATTGCTTTGCTGGCTGACCATATTTTCAATGTATTATCATCCGAACCAGTTACAATCAAATCACCATGAATTTGCAAACATGTAATCACATGTTCATCATGTCCCTTTAAAATACACGATCCACGAAGCGGACGATAACGCCAATTGGCCAAGATACGTTGATGTCGCAAGTAAAGTGCTTTCCATTTTGATCTATTTAAAATTAAGTTACATTATATTTTTGAAAGTATAATCAAGGTTGAGGACCTTAACAGTAACTCAAACTTTCCTTCATATCAAATGTCCATGTTTTGCTACATCTTCAATTCTAAACCATTTAATAAATGTGAAAAACAAAATAACAATCACCTTGATAAACAAACATTTTTTGGCGAATCATCTGTACCAGAATAATACCTAAAAATTTCTTGTTACTCAAGTGGTATGCAAATCAAAGTATTAAAAAACATTTGGGCCTAACGACTTCCTCCACAAAAATCATTTATTTTTGCGCATATTGTTTATGAAATATAAATGCCCATTACTGATTATTAATCATCGATCCACAGTTTAATAAAAAAATTTTGAAGATATCCAAACCGAAGCCAATTCTGATGATAACCGGTAAACAAAGCAACACGATAGCTGGGCACAGGACGATATCCAACAATTTCAATACCACTTGTTGAGGCTGTTTCTGCCCATGCACCACTTTTCCGATCACTGCAAAAATGTATAATTAAATCTCTGCTATAATTTTTTCACTTCTTTTTGACCAAATGTCCCTTTTTTATGCTAATATAATTTTACATTATCCATGAGCTGGTAGCAGCTATTTACCTTGGTTCATCCATAACTGTAACATTCACTTCCTCACATTTCTTCCTCCATAATCGATTATCTTCAGCCAAGTTACGCCAATAACGACAAGTTAATGATATGCGAGCAATATCAGCAGGAGATAAGAAACACATAACATGTAATGCAATCTGAAACAATTTTTCAGATGAAGATAACTGGGAGTTCGACGACATTCTCCCCGACATGAAAGAAATTCCATAATCATCGAAAAAATCAATTAATCTTATATCGGAATAGTTATACTTATAATCTACTATCTTCATTTTGAAATGACGAAATTTTCATCGTCACCATCAAATCACCTAAATTTAAAAATAAGACATTCGATTTCTAATTTTTTAATTCTAATTTCTTGCACTTAATTCTAATTTGGCCACTTACTTCTTTAGGCAATTCCTTAATGAAGTCTTTTTGAAAGAACGGCTCAATCACAGAACGTAAATGTCGAATGTGGTCCAATGAACACTCGCCAACTAAATCGGTAAGAGCATCCATTTGGTCGCGTGCAGAAAATGTCTAGAATTTTTTACTAGAAATCCACAATAAAAATTTCAAGAATGGAAAATATAGAGAATAACATTCATCATCAGTAAGACTTTCAAATAAATCACTTTTTCGAAGAAATCCTTAAATCTATTTATCATTTTATTCTATATCATGATGGCGTCATGTATTATAAGAGTGTGTATTGTTAAATAATGACAAGAATTAACAATAACATTAGCATATAAAAAAAAAAAATTCACTTTGAACTGTTTGATCCAGACAGATACATTTTCATTAATTTGATGTTCAAATTCTATAGACTTTTCAAGATCCTCTTCTTTTTGCTTCTCCTGATTTTTTGTTTCTTCTTCCTCATCTTTGTCCCTAACTTTTGGTGATTCTGGTGAGTCCAAATGATAACCAGTTAAATTCGGATTATCATCATAAGCACTATATGTTCCTTCAATGATAGAGATCTTATACCATTGAAAATATTAATGCATTCTTTTCGAAGCGCGAGAAAAAAATTAAGAAAAAATAATTTAAGAAAATTGGGAAAGATCTGATAAAAAAATATACGAAGAATTACTTACCTATTTGCTCACACCTGTCATATTTTCGCAGCAAACATTCACACTGAGCTAGTTTAGTGATTCGAAGAGGTGTAATACATGAATGGGAAGATTCGGAACGACTACTCTGTAAGTAATCACAGTCACCCATTTGTACCGTTCGGCTGAAACGAATTATTAAAATTTCAATTTATGCAAAACTGAAAATTCATAATGATGTTGTATTGTACTGATTTACGTTTGCAAAAAAAAAAAACAAGACATTCCTTATGAAGATTCAAAACTGCAAGAGAACATCTTAAACAGCTAATTTTTTTTCGACTCTGTCTTTCATGTTTACATCATAAATGTAAGTCATTATCAAAAAAAAAAATCATATTGTGAACAATTAAAATTTTTTTGATTTCAAAATGAAATCTTCAATTACATCGTTATATTATTTTGATTACGTTGTAATTATGATTTACGAGATATCCGTGCGATTAAGTAACAAATTCAGCAAGGTTATATGAATTATTTGAGACTCTGTATGAATCCAAAGATTTGCTAATGCTTGGTAATATAGTGAGAAGATATCACTACATATTATTCAAGAAAAACTAATCATGTTTGCCTTATAAATGATTAGAATAAAACAACGGTATCAAAAAGTGATTTTCAACTTTTTTTTTACATTCAATTCCAGTCTTTTCAGCTTTGTTGATAAAAAAGAAAAAAGAAAAGAAAAATGCTTTGGAACATGAATTTTGAAGACTTATTACTTCGAACTATAATATTTTACATAAACTTTTAGTGAAATCGGAAAGCAAAAAGATGATTTTATAAGATATAATACTTGAACAAAGATAAAACTTGGGTACTAAATAAATAGTAGAGATGCCGTACTTCAGCAGGAAGCATTTACATCACGAGAATCTTTAATCTATATTCTATTGATCCTTTATTATGATAATTGTTCCTATATGAACTGTAAAGACACCAATCGAGGTTGAATATTAGCATTATGATTAATTGATATGACAAATAACACAAAAACAACGATTTATAGCTAGCTATGTAAAATCAAGAAATCGTTTAGTCTGCTCCATACACACAACACGTTTCAGGCTTTGTGCAATATTGTATTTCAAAAGAATGCATTTGCGTCACTAACAATCTTTAATCTGCTATTCCATTGATTTTTTATGCAATTTGCATGTGCAATTTAAATATATGAAAATATCTTATACAGCAAAGCATTAAATGACTGAACAATTAGGATGCATTTATCCAATACTCATTTCTCGGCCAAAAATACCAAAAACTAAAGCTTGATTTTTAGCATCCGCTCTAAGTGTCACTGAGACAATTTATGCATAATGCTACCCTGCTAAAACTTTAATTTTGAGGAAGTATTTGGATTTTCGTGGTGATAATCCATTCTCGACATTATCACTACGAAAAGCCAACACCTTATACAGAGAACCAGAGTCTTATTTTCTCATGAATATCATTCAGTTTATGAGATGTTAATAGCGAAATGATATTTTATATTTGAATTGTAAAATAACTATATTTATTATCACGAATGAGATAAAGAGAAACAGGTTATAAAGCAAGTACTGAAAATTTTATAAACGAATGTTTAAAACTAGTGCTCAACATTCAGCAAAGGAAATGATCGCTCGAAAGTAATACTGAACATAATGATGCTATATTATTGCTAAAGAATTGATTATTTCTGCAGACTTATTCTGCAGACTTACATTCAATCCATTTTTAGACATCGCTCTGGCAAGTTTTTGCCAGATTTCATAATATCCTATATAATAAAGATAACATCCTTTCTTGTCATTAAAATTGTTTAATTCATATTTTTTTCGAATTCACTTATCTACATGTACATTCCTAATGAATTGAACTCACTATGTTATCAGAATAATAAATGCAGCTCTAGAATGATAATAATTTTTACTCGTAATGTTTGACCAGCAGCAATGAAATGTTAGGAGCAAATTCTAAAATGCTGACAATTTTACCAATTGCATGCTCATACTGGAAAACAACATTAAAATTTAATTCTAGAATTTAGATCTCTTAATTTAAAATATCTTTGTGCAAGAAACATTATTTCAGAACAATAAAAATATGCATGCTCGGATGATAGTGAATGATAACAAATAAGTGGACCGTTCCTATAAATTACAAACAAGTTGAAGAACGTGTTCGATCTTGCCTCAGATAATGTAAATTCTTAACCAATATAAAATATGCAATAATGGACTGGCTAGAAATATTCCAGCAATTATAATGACTATGGTGATCCGAGATAAGATCAATCAATATTTTTGCTCATGAAACTTTAATTATACGGTCTACAAATTCAACTGTACTATCTCCGAAACACTCTTGTTGAACATATTTTGGAAGCTCTATTTAATTAATGCGATGATTTAAGCATAACATAAATGATGAATATGACAATATTTTATCATATAATCTTGTTCTGAATTTCTATTATGATTGAGCTATTAAATCTAATAAAAAAACTTGTTAGATAATCTTTTAAAAGATTAAAGAGTTTTTGAAAAAAATAAAATTCTTGCGCAGTATGAAAAATGTTACAAAATTTTCGGTAGAAAAAAGTTTTCATATTGTCATAAAGCAATGAAGAAAAATGATAGAAAGAATGATTGTCCACATAAAGAATTTGACAAAGTTCAGCCAAAATGACTATTCCATACTTCCTCTAGACCTTTATCAAAATGTACCTAAAGCACCGAAATCAGAGACGATAGAATATCGAAAAATAAAACATGTCTTGTAAGAAGTTTAGAAATTCTGCGAAAAAAAATTTTTTGCTTACCTTAATGCTGGTTTCTTCTCCCTGAACGAATCATCGAACAGCGAAGATTTACGCTTCTGATAAGGATGATCCCTAGGACTTTTCATCATGCTCTGAAAATTATTATTGGAATAAAGTTCATTTTTACAAATAAATCGAATTTCGGTTTATAAAAATAATACATAAGCTTCACGGCACTCTAGAAACAGTCACATCTATAAATTATGAATTTTGGTTTCTCTTTCAAACTATTTCGGTTCCTTAAGTGACGCAGTTTCATTTCAGAAGTTAACATTTCTCATGAGAAGATGAGGAATAACTTGTATGAGTGAAAAAATTGTTGCCCCAAACGATGCAATAATTATACACTCATTTGTTTCTACGATCTTTTTTCTTTGCTTGCAACTGTTTTACTAACTCCCTCCCTTAGATTATACTTCTCTTAAATGAAAAGTAAAACATACATGAAAGGAGTTCAGTTTAGTATAAAAGTGCTAGAAAGCCGAATCAATTCAGTCAACAAATAGTAAAAAATAATGAATTTTTGTTTAGTACAATAAAAAAAAAAACAACAAACGCGTGCTTTCCAATCGCTGTAATGGCTCCATGCAACAGAAGCTGATCGCTGCCTATTGCCATAGTCATGCTTAAATTGTATTTGCATATTAAATTTGTCATTTTATAGTCAGTGCATGCAAAGAACTGTGAAAAAACCAGCTGATCTGAACGACAAATTACACATAAGCGCTCAGGAATATAATGTGAATCATATCTTTACTAAAGATAGACACGATTAACTGCTCAAGAAGGTTAGCCATTATTATAAAAAAGCATATATATATATATATACTATATGTATCTGTGAAGCTACTGGAAAAAGCCTCTGAACTAATTGAACATTATAAGCTTAATTTTTCTTCTTCACAAAAAAAAAAATTTTACACGAGAAAGACTGGCTGTTAATTAATTAATCAACCAAAACCCAATTATATCCAATTCTAAATACTTCAATTGAAATGCACAATACTCCACACGACTTCTAAGTTACTTTTATAAGGGAAACAATCCAGTGTCATTGCCATCAATTAAACTTGAGCTGATAATAAAAATATTCAACTGTCGCGATGACTACTGCTCTATAATGTTCAGTAAGTCATTTAGTTTTCATTCTAGTCCAAGCCTCATGTTTTTCTACTTCAAATGCCTCAGTACTTCTGGCTTTTTTGATGAACGTTGAATAAATTATAAAGATGATACTTCCTAAACCGCTTTCTCTTTCTTTCCAAAGGACACATGTACAACAGGTAACTGTCAATGATTTATATTTATAAGAAACAGAAAATTTAAGAAGACGCACCTTAGTTGAAGTGATTTTAGACAACATGTTTTGGAAGGAAATTCTGCTACGATCGCTACTACTGCTGCTGTTGTCATCATGAAGTGTAGCATCATTAGGAGACGATTCGCAGTGTATCGGATTAGACATCGATGTACATTTCTTAAAAACTTACATAGAAAGATGAAAACAAGACGATATGAAATGTAATATTTCGAAACGCATTTCAATGCATTTATCAAAAAAAAAATATAAGCAAAAATCAGAAATAATAATACCTAAATTACTAATAAGTTAGATGGTGCAACTCTCGAAAAAATTTTTCAATTTCGATTAACTAAGAACAATATCCTCAACATATAAGAAAGTCAAGTAGCACAAGTTTTACGGTAACATTTGCAAATAATTAATCACCCAAAACTATTCTAATACGACAAATTATCTGAGAGTCATTGTTACTCGTTAAATTTCAAAAGTGAATCGAAAATTTGAACCTGAATTTAACATTTTAAATAACTTTCAGAATAAAAAGAAATCTACAGAATAAAACAATCTACACTAATTTCAAAATATTTTATTTATCTTCCACAAAATATCAGTAGTCGCCTGATAATTTTAATTCATTAAAAGTTAAGCATGTCAAGATTGTAAACCATAAGAGTTATTTTGAATTCCAAAATAACCAACAACACCTCCACTCCGATCATTCCAACATCAACCCAATCAACCATCCTTTCAAATCCCACCATCATCACTTCTGTCAGCATTCAATTCAACCATGGTGGCCAGTTTTATTTTCATCGACCACGTTGTGCAAACTGATCATCCTTTCCTTCAACTTTTCATAATTTACATTTTCATATAATAACCAACCGAATAATTGGCATAAGTTTGAGTGATTAATTTAAGTAGCACTAGAATAAGCCTTACTGTTCGAGAGCAGTCAAAGTTATCCAATGTCTTTGCACTCTTTCTCTCTCTCTCTCTCCCTCTCTCTCTCTCTTTCTCTCTCTTTCTCTTAATATTATCAAATTTCCGCTCAATCTTTCTCTCCATTCATTATTAGTTTATTCCAAAATTTTGCTCTACTTATTATTATAGTTGAATTTTGATTGAAAATTTTACTAGAATTATATCAATATTGAGAATTACTTTACATTTTTCTTACTTTTTCTTACAATACAATTATTTTTGAATTTCAAAAATCATGCGTCACATTTTTTTCTTTTTTATTATAAATATCCTTTGAGAGTGTTACCTAACTAGTTGGAATGGTCATATTGACAAATTCATTTCAGGAAGATTTTGGGAAGAAACTGATTTACGTAGACTTACGTGTAACAAACTCATATTCACGAATTCACGCATAGTTCTTGGACAGTTGAGAAATTGCATTACTGTTTTAGTATTTCATTTCTGGCATTCTGATATTTCTGATATTAGAATTTCGATATTTCAAAATTTTGGCTCTCCTATTGGATAAAGAGAGCAGTGTGGTTAGTTTGATAAATAGTAGAAGTGAGCTCATAAGATCCCAACAGTTTAAAAATGAACAATTAACCTTTCTAGGATTATATTCACGAAATCCATCCAGTAGTAGATGTATTTCTCGAATACAGCCCTAGAAAGGTCAATTTTGATGTTGCAGCTTTTTAATCTGTTAGCAAATGATAAAATAGTTATTTAAAAAAAAAAAACCAATAGAAAACAGACAAAAAGAAATTATGAAATTATCTAAGCAAAGTACGCTATATTCATGGTCAACTTTTGTAAGTTAAGACTTTAAGAATTTTCTAATTTAAATTGCAATAAATTAAATAAATTATTACACATTAATTAAAATATAAAAACTGTAAAAATACCGTCCGAAAGAGAGCATCCTTTAGGAGAAGTTCAAAATCGTAATTTTACGGTGGCTTTCCTCAAAATATCAACAATATCTTTCCGCCCACACACATAAATATACACATACAATTTTTTTTTTTTGGATAAAATTTAAAGAAAATGACGAATGCATAAATCAATCATTCACCACATTTTCACTCTTGAAAATATGGCTGCTTGATCTTTCGTATGCTTTCAAAATTTCAAATATTTTTCTTTTTTTTTTTTTTAAATCAACAATTTATGTGTCCGTTGGGACAAATGCGCATTCGGTTGTTTAGTGTTTGGTCTTCGGTATATCGTAGTGGCAATCAATTTTTTTTTTTCCCAAAATTTATCCCATTAAATTTTTACACCGCAATTGATGTTGTTTATTCAGTTTATTTCTAATAGCAATAATATATTGAATAGTTTTATTTATTACATATTTGCAATCTAAAAAATTAATTGTGAGTTATTTTAATGCTCAAAATTAGCCCTCAATTTACAAAAAAAAAATTTCCGTTTCCTAATTTCCTACTACTTTTGCTCTCTTATAAAGGTCAGTTACAGTTCACCGCGTTTTTTTTTTTTTTTTTAATATCAAACAATAGTTTTGATTTTGAAAAAAATATAATTAACGAAATTCTGATAAGCTCGAGAATCAAAAATTTTTTTTTTTGCGTCTGACGATTCATGAAAATCGAGGAGAATTGAGCCTCTCGAGGATATTTTTTGTAACTGCAAATCATGTTTTCATTCCATTTCTTTCATCTTTTTATCAATTTCTTGATTCTTGGAATTATTTCAAATCAAATCATAAGAAAAAAAGAACTGTTCATACTGGCATTTTCATTCATCCTTTTTTATAAAATTCATAAAAATGATGAATTATTGAGGCGTTTATTTTTTTTTTTTGAGCCCATTGTGAATTCCTGATTTCAAATTCTCCTATAATATTCCATGTTCGTTTCTTAGGATCAATTAGATTGTCTGGAATGAATGAATAAAATTTTGTTAATCAAATAGCTCCTTTGTTTCTGACCAATTCTTTTAATTTATTAAAAACTAACAATGATAAATGATAAATTCTAAAAAAGTTAATTTTTGCTTATTTTATGAACATATATCAATTAGTTTTCTTATTATGGAAGCAAAAAATTTGAATTTAAATTTAACTTAATTTATTTTGTGTAAAAAAATGTTTAGCTAATATACTTTTGACAAATTTTCACAAGCAGCGGAGTGCTAATATCGATTGATCACTATATTTGATTGTTGATTCATTTAGCTACAGAGTTCTAAAAAGTATTTGGCATTATTGTCATCACAGTTTTAATTTTTAACACAACTGCCACTTATCTTTCTATCCTCTTTAAAGTGTCGTGACAAAATATATAATATTTCATAGCTTCAATTGTACTGGAAATATGAAATGACAGATAGCCAAAGTTTAATCTTCAACTGATGAAATGCGCTTAACAGTAGCAATAGGTGATAAGACAGTGGATATCATCATTTTTGTATGATCTTAAATTTTTCCTGTACTTCACTTTACTGGATAAACTGTTGACTAGCAATGGGTCGGGAAACAGAAATGATAATTATATCAGATTATGTGGGAAGATAATAATATCTTTGATAAGTAAAAATAATGAAATTATAAGCATTTTGAAATTATAAGGGATTTAATCTCTTTTTCCCAAATATTTTTTTTCCACTGCTAATTACTTGTATCAATCAGAATTCTTTTTCACAATTAAAATGCATTGACTAATTTGCTTTAACATTTTAATCGAAAATTTAGAGTGTTTCAATTTAATTAGTGTTATATGATTATTTCACATATATATTATTTATTTTATATATTTTATACAAATAATCAAGGTATTAAAATTATTTTTTGTGAGCATATTCTCAATTAATAAAGAAAATACTTAACATTTAGTATTTATTTTCTTTCCTCCATTTTTTTTCTTTGGAAATTTTAGCTGAAATTTTTAATGAAATTTGATCAAAATTCTATCTTATAATAATGGTAGTGATCTGAATTCTGGAAATGAACTTTTTGTTTATTGAAATTGAAATTTAAGCGACTACCGACAAGATGATATCAGGCAGATTGAAATTCAAATTAATTTCCAAAATGTTATTTTCTTTTTACTGCAGTCACAATATTTTGTTTTAGTAATTTTTGAAATTATAATAAGAAATTATGATAAGTTTATGATATTTTAAAAATTATGGAAGATTTGGAGGAATTTTAAAATCGAATGTTTACGCTTAAGTTTCCACAAATCATTCCGAATAATTTTGTTTTCTTTTTGCATTTTATTAGTTTTGAGAGTAGGCGTTCAATGGAATAATGCTTTTAAAACTTTCTCTCACATTCAAATTTCAGTTTTTTTTTTTTCACATAATACATCAAATCGTAGTTTTATTATAAATGTGAAAATTAGGGTAGAATATTAAATTAAATTAATTTAGAAATTTTTCAGAAATAGAATATTTAGAGAAAATATTAATATTTTTGCTATCAACGATTGTAATTTAAGATTAAATTTAAATTAGATTTTAAATATGTCCTTTCTTATTTGATAAAAATTTATTGGACTATGGTCGAGAAATATTAATATGTATCATTTGCTTTTATAAGCAATTTCCAAGTGCGTCATTCCAACTTTTCCCATGAGAATTTCAAAGCTTTTTTTTTTCTTGCAACCTTTCAAAAATTTTCTTTCCTTCTTATTTTTCTGCTTTTAACATTCCTGAATTTTATTTTATGCATACAATTTTATACTTTCATTCCTGAATTTATTTTATGCATACAATTTTATACTTTGTGACTTTTATTGGAAGGAGACCATCAACATTCCAACTGAATTTAAAATAAAGATTTTAAATTTATTTAGAATATTGAATTTAAATTAAATGTTTAGTATTATTTTGACCAGTTTTGAATAGCCAATATTATGAGCCTATTATCGGAAAGGCAATATTTATCATATTCGATACGAAGTTATCAGGTATGTCATACTATATGATCTGATAGGAGTTAAATCATAGTCATACCTGTAATTGTCTCTTTACAAAGTTTACCTGCGCCATATTTCTTATTCCTATCTCTTGTTAATTATCTTTATTGTATCTGTAATTTTATTAGATTTTAAAAAATAAATTATTGAAGTAAACTTCCTCTATTATAGTTGCCATTGATACTGCAACGACAATAAATTAGTAAAAAATTATTTATATAATTAATTTCTAGTGAAAAAAACCATCTTAATTACACACTTATCCGTGTATAATTGAGATAATTTTTTAAAAGAAGGAGCAATTTTGTTATTATAAAATTTATATTTGTAATAATATGGTTTAAGTTCAAATTGTTTTGGAAATTTGACTTTTATCTTCGAATATTATGAGGATATGCACATAAACCATATCATTAGATAGCCTAACATATCTTAAAAATATCAAAACATTTTATTACTAGTTTATACTTTTGTGATTTCGTGCTAAATTATATTCATTAAATTTTTAATGTAATTATTTTTTCACAAATGGGAAGCGTTGAATCAATAGCTAATCCAATTAGCTTAACAGGTTCTCCGCAACATCTACCATTACAACGATATTCGGTTAGTAAAATATTTTACTTTCCAACTTATCGCTTTTTTTTCAAAACTTGAAAATGGAAAAATAAAAATGAGGAATTTT